AGGATGGTCTCAATCTCTTGACCTTCTGATTTGCCCCCCTCAGCCTCCCAGAGTGCTGGGATTACAGGCATGAGTCACTGTGCTAGGCCAGCATTGTATTTTTATCATTTTTTATTTTATTCTAAACCTAAATATTTATATATATGTCATTTTCTTCTAAAGCAGAATGAGGTTTAAACTATAAAAGATTCCCTCCCTCCCTCCCTCCCTCCCTCCCTTCCTTCCTTCCTTCCTTTTTTTTTTGAGACAGAGTCTCACTCTGTTGCCTAGGCTGGAGTGCAGTAGCATGGTCTTGGCTCACTACAACCTCTGCTTCCTGAGTTCAAGCGATTCTCCTGCCTCAGCCTCCTGAGTAGCTGGGATTACAGGTGTGTACCACCACACCCAGCTAATTTTTTTCTATTATTACTAGGGACGGGGTTTTACTATGTTGGTCAGGCTGGTCTCGGACCTCCAGCCACCTTGCACTCCCAAAGTGCTGGGATTATGGGTGTGAGCCACCGTGCCAGACTGAACTGTAAAGGATTTTCTGAAATGTTCATGGAGACATTTCAGAATGCTCAAAAGGAATCACAGTAGTGGTAATATGTCAGGGTAAATACTGAAGAGTTAAGAAAAATGGAAAGTGTTAATAGTATGGGGTTTCTTTCTTGGTTTTACTCTGAGTTAATAAGACACATTAGAGAGAAGGAATGAAGGTAGAGAAATTTTGAATAGATTAAAAGTTCTTACTCAGATAATGAGTTCTTTTCTAAGTAAATATTTGGTGTATTGAAAACAAGAAATTCACTTTGCAAATGAGTTTGTTTAAGGAAGATGCAAAATTAAACAGTTCTCCTCAACTCACTCAGTGGAATCACCTTATCAGAATCTTCAGTGGGTTTTGTAATCCTCATTTAGAGAAGTGTGAGCTTATTTGACATTGGAACACGGTCTTAACATTTACTATAGGATGTTAGTACTTATGACCTTTCACAGTATGACAATTTTCCTATCTTTGTGTAACTGAACACTATCGATAAAGTTTCATGTTAACTGAGTGGTAGAGCATTTTCTTAAAAACATAGAAAGGAAACAAAAAGGTAGGGTGCCTATAGGCACAGAATACATACAGGCATACCTCATTTTTTGAGCCCTGCAGATACTGCAGTTTTTACAAATTGAAGATTTGTGGCAACGTTGTGTCAGTTAAGTCTATTGTGCCATTTTTCCAACAGTGTGTGCTTGCTTTGGTTCTCTGTGTCACATTTGGTAACTCTTTACAATATTTCAAACTTTTTCATGATTGTTATATGTACTGTGGTGACCTGAGATCAGTGAGCTTTGATGTTACTGTTGTAATTGTTTTGGGACTCCATGAACGCACCCATATGAGATGGCAAACCTAATTGTTGAATGTCGTATGTTCCCATCATTTTCTCTCCTAAGGCCTCCCTAGTCCCTGAGGCACAATATTGAAATGAGGCCAGTTAGTAGCCCTCCAGTGACCTCTAAGTGTTCCAGTAAAAGAATAGTTGCAGGCTGCTCACTTTAAATCAAAAGCTAAAAATGATGAAGCTTAGTGAGGAAGACATGGTGGCAGCTGAGAAAGGTTGAAAGCTAGGCCAGTTTACCAGGTGGTGGGTGCACAGGAAAAGTTATCAAAAGAGATGAGGAAGTGCTGCTCCAGTGAACACACAAATGATAAAAAAGCAAAACAGCCTTATTGCTGATATGGGGAAACTTTGAGTGGTCTGGATAGAAGATCAAGCCAGCCACAATATTCCTGAAAGTCAAAGCTTAATCCAGATCAAGACCTTAGCTCCAATTAATTCTGTGATGGCTGAGAGAGGTGAGTAAGCCACAAGAGAAAAGCTGGAAGCTAGCAGAGGTTGGTTCGTGAATTTTGAAGGAAAACACAGTCTCTATAACATAAAAGTTCAAGGTGAAGCCTCAAGTGCTTGATGTAGAAACCACGAATTCTCCAGAATATCTTGCTGAGATAATTCATGGAGATGGCTATGCTTAAGAAACAAATTTTTAATGTAGACAAAATAGCCTTATATTGGAAGATGCCATCTAAGATTTTGCTAGCTAGAGAGAATTCCATTGCTGGCTTCAAAGCTTCAAAGGACAGACTGAGACTCTTGTTAGGGGCTAATGCAGCTGGTGACTTTAATTGAAGCCAGTGTTCATTTATCATTCCAAAAATTCTAGGGCCCTTAAGAGCTGTGGTAAATCTACTCTGCATGTGCTCTGTCAGTGGAACAATAAAGCCTGGATGACAACACATCTCTTTATAGCATTGTTCACTGAATATTTTAAGCCTACTTTTGAGACCTACTGCCCAGAAAAAAAAATTCCTTTCAAAATATTACTGCTCATCAGCACTGCACCCAGTCACTCTGAGAGCCCTGATGGAGGTGTATAAGGAGATGAATATCCTTTTCATGCCTGCTAATGCAGCATCCATTATGCAGCCCATAGATCCAGGAGTAATTTCAACTTTCAAATCTTAGGATTATACTATCTTTTTCTTTTTTGAGAAGATCGTCTCACTGTCACTCAGGCCGGAGTGCAGTGGCACAGTCACAACTCACGGAGCCTCAATCTCTTCAGGCTCAGGTGATCCTTCCACTTCAGCCTGCTGAATAGCTGGGACCACAGGTGGTGTACCAGCCTGCCCAGCTAATTTTTGTATTTTTTTGTAGAGGTGTTTCGTTTCCATGTTGCCTCGGCTGGTCTCAAACTTCTGGGCTCAAGTGATCTGCCCACCTTGGCCTTCTTCAGAGTTTGAGATTACAGGTGTGAGCCACTGCACTCAGCCTTCAAGTTTTATTCTTTAAGAAATACACTTTGTAAGGCTGTATCTGCCACACATAGTGATTCCTCTGATGAATCTGGGCAAAGTAAATTAAAAATCTTCTAGAAAGGAGAAGGTGCCATTAGGAACATTAGGAACTAGGTGCCATTAGGAACATTTGTGATTCATGGGAATAGACCAGAATATAACAGGAATGTGGAAGAAGTTGATTCCATCCCTCATGGATAACTTTAAGGGATTCAAGATTTCAGTGGAGAAAGAAACTGCAGATGTGGTGGAACTAGCAAGTGAACCACAATTAGAAGTGGAACCTTCAGATGGGACTACACTGCTTCAATTTTATCATCAAATGTGAAGAGATAAGGAGTTGCTTCTTATGATGATCAAAGAAAGGGATCTCTGAAATGGAATCTATTCCTGGTGAAGATGCTGTGAATATTGTTGAAATGACAACAGAAGATTTAGATTCTGTAAACTTCATAAAGCAATGGCAGGCTTTCAGAGAACTGACTCCAATTTGGAAAGAAGTTCCACTGTGTGTAAAATGCTATTCAATAGCATGACACCACTGAGAGATCTTTCATGAAAGAAAGATTCAATGTAACTTTTAAATGCATTTGGCACCCAACAAATTTGTGTGACTTCACTTTATACTTGCATGATTGTGGTGGTCTGGAATTGAACCTACAATATCTCCTACAGATGCATTTATGCCACTAAGGTATAAACTTGAATTTCTGTTGTCAGATTAGATTCAATTCATAATAAATTGAGATTACTAGTGAATAAAAAGTTTGTTAATTCACTAATTTTAATTCCCACTAGAATTTTAACTTCTTTAAAAAACTATCCTCTGACACTGTATCCCTCCCCCAACCTCCTGTGTTATAATCTTCCAAGCTTTTATGGTAGTAACCTATTTTTAAAATTCTGTCAATAGTGTAATTTTGAGAAATGTTAAGGCCTTGATTATGAGTGTATGTTTATTTATACTAATAATGATGTTTTGATTGTGTGTGTGTATCAGCTGCCCTCTGTCCCACAGATACCATAACCCTGTCAGTAGCTATGTTTATTCTCCCCATCCTGTGCTGCCTGGCTTATGTGGTTCTCCGGTGATTATAACTAAGCATTAGGGGAGTTGTCCTCAGTTGTGAGTTGTAGTCCTTGCCCATTGGTATTTGTACTTTGTTTACATTGTTAATAATTTGATACCATGAAGAATGGTTTTTGTAATCTAATTCTCAAATGCCTCTTATTTTTTTGCAATAGTGTTTTCTGAAACATAATCCATAGGTTCATGAGGCAGTTGTAGAAATTCTTCAGGAGAATTTTAAGCTCTTTTCTGGGATTTAGAGAAGTGCTGTTGAATAGAACTAAATATAATGTGAGTCATTCACATGATTTAAACTTTCTAGTTATGACATTAGAGAAGAATACAGAGAAACTTGTGAAAATCATTTTAGTGGTAACTTTAACTTAATATATCTAAAATATTTCAACATGTAATCAAAATGGAAATTATTTAGATATTTAGAATACTTTTTTGTATCAAGTTTTCAAAAGTCAGTGTGTATTGTACACTTACGGGACATCTGAGTTTGGACTGGTCACATTCCAAGTGTCACATGTGTTTAGTGGCTATTGTGCTGGATTTTGTAAGTCTAGAATTTATTTTCTGATGATAATCTTCCCGTGTTTAAATTTGTAGCCAATAAATTGCTCTTATTTTAGGTTTTTATTTTAAAAGCACTCTTTAAAATCTTCCCCATACTTTTTTTTTTTTTTTTTTTTTTTTAAACAGGGTCTCTTTTTGCAACCCGGGCTGGAGTGTACTGGTGCAATTATACCTCATTATAACCTTAAACTCTTGGACACAAGGAGTCCTCTTGCCTCAGCCTCCAGAGTAGCTAGGACTACAGATGTGCACTGCCATACCTGACTAATTTTATTTATCTTTTTTGTAGGGATGGGTTTTTCATATGTTGCTTAAGCTGGTCTTTAACTCCTGGGCTCAAACAATTCTGCCTCAGCCTCCCAAAGTGGTGGAATTATAGGTGTGAGCCACCTCACATGACGTATTACTTGTTTGTATAACAAATCACACATTTTAGAATACAGGAAAAATTATTTTTACTAAAAGCCAAATAAAAAGATAATAGATAATGGCCATGCACCTTTTTATTATTTTTTACAGGTGTTGAAGAAGAAGAAAAGGTTGCAAAGATGTGTAAAATGAAGTCTGCAATCCAGCTGTATCAGATGGTGTAGATGCTGTAGAAATGGCAACCCTCGGAAAAACAGTTGAGGACTTTTTCTGCTTTTGCTATGGTAAAAGCAATATACTTAAATTTTTTAAAAGATACATGATGTAATAGTGGTATGCCATTGATTTAACAGTCATGTAACACACATTTTCACAAACTGAATGAATGAGGAATAACCTTACTTTCCACTTCCATTTTGTTTTTTATTTATTTATTTATTTATTTTTTATTATTATTATACTTGAAGTTCTAGGGTACATGTGCACAACGTGCAGGTTTGTTACATATGTATACTTGTACCATGTTGCTGTGCTGCACCCATCAACTCGTCAGCACCCACCAACTCATCATTTACATCAGGTATAACTCCCAATGCAATCCTCTCCCCTCCCTCCTTCCCATGATAGGCCCCAGTGTGTGATGTTCCCCTTCCCGAGTCCAAGTGATCTCATTGTTCAGTTCCCACCTATGAGTGAGAACATGCAGTGTTTGGTTTTCTGTTCTTGTGATAGTTTGCTAAGAATGATGGTTTCCAGCTGCATCCATGTCCCTACAAAGGACACAAACTCATCCTTTTTTATGGCTGCATAGTATTCCATGGTGTACATGTGCCACATTTTCTTAATCCAGTCTGTCACTGATGGACATTTGGGTTGATTCCAAGTCTTTGCTGTTGTGAATAGTGCCGCAATAAACCTACATGTGCATGTGTCTTTATAGCAGCATGATTTATAATCCTTTGGGTATATACCCAGTAATGGGATGGCTGGGTCATATGGTACATCTAGTTCTAGATCCTTGAGGAATCGCCATACTGTTTTCCATAATGGTTGAACTGGTTTACAATCCCACCAACAGTGTAAAAGTGTTCCTATTTCTCCACATCCTCTCCAGCACCTGTTGTTTCCTGACTTTTTAATGATCGCCATTCTAACGGGTGAGAGATGCTATCTCATTGTGGTTTTGATTTGCATTTCTCTGATGGCCAGTGATGATGAGCATTTTTTCATGTGTCTGTTGGCTGTATGAATGTCTTCTTTTGAGAAATGTCTGTTCATATCCTTTGCCCACTTTTCGATGGGGTTTTTTTTTTTCTTGTAAATTTGTTTGAGTTCTTTGTAGGTTCTGATATTAGCCCTTTGTCAGATGAGTAGATTGCAAAAATTTTCTCCCATTCTGTAGGTTGCCTGTTCACTCTGATGGTAGTTTCTTTTGCTGTGCAGAAGCTCTTTAGTTTAATGAGATCCCATTTGTCAATTTTGGCTTTTGCTGCCGTTGCTTTTGGTGTTTTAGACATGAAGTCTTTGCCCATGCCTATGTCCTGAATGGTACTACCTAGGTTTTCCTCTAGGGTTTTTATGGTATTAGGTCTAACATTTAAGTCTCTAATCCATCTTGAATTAATTTTCGTATAAGGAGTAAGGAAAGGATCCAGTTTCAGCTTTCTACTTATGGCTAGCCAATTTTCCCAGCACCATTTATTAAATAGGGAATCCTTTCCCCATTTCTTGTTTCTCTCAGGTTTGTCAAAGATCAGATGGCTGTAGATGTGCGGTATTATTTCTGAGGACTCCGTTCTGTTCCATTGGTCTATATCTCTGTTTTGGTGCCAGTACCATGCTGTTTTGGTTACTGTAGCCTTGTAGTACAGTTTGAAGTCAGGTAGCATGATGCCTTCAGCTTTGTTCTTTTGGCTTAGGATATTCTTGGCAATGCGGGGTCTTTCTTGGTTCCATATGAACTTTAAAGCAGTTTTTTCCAATTCTGTGAAGAAAGTCATTGTTAGCTTGATGGGGATGGCATTGAATCTATAGATTACCTTGGGCAGTATGGCCATTTTCACGATATTGATTCTTCCTATCCATGAGCATGGTATGTTCTTCCATTTGTTTGTGTCCTCTTTTATTTCACTGAGCAGTGGGTTGTAGTTCTCGTTGAAGAGGTCCTTTACATCCCTTGTAAGTTGGATGCCTAGGTCTTTTATTCTCCCTGAAGCAATTGTGAATGGAAATTCATTCGTGATTTGACTCTGTGTTTGTTTGTTACTGGTGTATAAGAATGCTTGTGATTTTTGCACATTGATTTTGTATCCTGAGACTTTGCTGAAGTTGCTTATCAGCTTAAGGAGATTTTGGGCTGAGATGATGGGGTTTTCTAAATATATAATCATGTCATCTGCAAGCAGGGACAATTTGACTTCTTCTTTTCCTAACTGAATACCCTTTATTTCTTTCTCTTGCCTGATTGCCCTAGCCAGAACTTTCAACACTATGTTGAATAGGAGTGGTGAGAGAGGGCATCCCTGTTTTGTGTGAGTTTTCAAAGACAATGCTTCCAGTTTTTGCCCATTCAGTATATTAGCTGTGGGTTTGTCTTAAATAGCTCTTATTATTGTGAGATATGTTCCATCAATACCGAATTTATTGAGTGTTTTTAGCATGTAGGGCTGTTGAATTTTGTCAAAGGCCTTTTCTGCATCATCTATTGAGATAATCATGTGGTTTTCGTCTTTGGTTCTGTTTATATGCTGGATTATGTTTTATTGATTTGCATATGTTGAACCAGCCTTGCATCCCAGGGATGAAGCCCACTTGATCATGGTGGATAAGCTTTTTGATGTGCTGCTGGATTCGGTTTGCCAGTATTTTATTGAGGATTTTTGCATCGATGTTCATCAGGGATATTGGTCTAAAATTCTCTTTTTTTGTTGTGTCTCTGCCAGGCTTTGGTATCAGGATGATGTTGGCCTCATAAAATGAGTTAGGTAGGATTCCTTTTTTTTCTATTGATTGGAATAGTTTCAGAAGGGATGGTATCAGCTCCTCCTTGTACCTCTGGTAGAATTCGGCTGTGAATCTGTCTGGTCCTGGACTTTTTTTGGTTGGTAGGCTATTAATTATTGCCTCAATTTCAGAGCCTGCTATTGGTCTGTTCAGGGATTCAACTTCTTCCTGGTTTAGTCTTGGGAGAGTGTTTAAGTGTCTAGGAAATTATCCGTTTCATCTACGTTTTCTAGATTATTTGCGTAGAGGTGTTTATAGTATTCTCTGATGGTAGTTTGTATTTCTGTGGGGTCAGTGGTGATATCCCTTTTATCATTTTTTATTGCATCTATTTGATTCTTCTCTCTTTTCTTCTTTATTAGTCTTGCTAGCCGTCTATCCATTTTGTTGATCTTTTCAAAAAACCATCTCCTGGATTCATTGATCTTTTTGGAGGTTTTTTGTGTCTCTATCTCCTTCAGTTCTGCTCTGATCTTAGTTATTTCTTGCCTTCTGCTAGCTTTTGAATGTGTTTGCTCTTGCTTCTCTAGTTCTTTTAATTGTGATGTTAGAGTGTCAATTTTAGATCTTTCCAGCTTTCTCTTGTGGGCATTTAGTGCTATAAATTTTCCTCTACACACTGCTTTAAATGTGTCCCAGTGATTCTGGTATGTTGTATCTTTGTTCTCATTGGTTTAAACGAACATCTTTATTTCTGCCTTCATTTAGTTATGTACCCAGTAGTCATTCAGGAGCAGGTTGTTCAGTTTCCCTGTAGTTGAGTGGTTTTGATTGATTTTCTTAGTCCTGAGTTCTAGTTTGATTGCACTGTGGTTTGAGAGACAGTGTGTTATAATTTCTGTTCTTTTACATTTGCTGAGGAGTGCTTTACTTCCAACTATGTGGTCAATTTTTGAATAAGTGCAATGTGGTGCTGAGAAGAATGTATATTCTGTTGATTTGGGATGGAGAGTTCTGTAGATGTCTACTAGGTGCACTTGATGCAGAGTTGAGTTCATTTCCTGGATATACGTGTTAACATTCTGTGTCATTGATCTGTCTAATGTTGACAGTGGGGTGTTGAAGTCTCCCATTAGTATTGTATGGGAGTCTAAGTCTCTTTGTAAGTCTCTAAGGATTTGCTTTATGAATCTGGGTGCTCCTGTATTGGGCGCATATATATATATAGGATAGTTAGCTCTTCCTGTTGAACTGATCCCTTTACCATTATGTAATGGCCTTCTTTGTCTCTTTTGATCTTTGATGGTTTAAAGTCTGTTTTATCAGAGACTAGGATTGCAACCCCTGCTTTGTTTTGTTCTCCATTTGCTTGGTAGATCTTCCTCCATCCCTTTATTTTGAGCCTCTGTGTGTCTCTGCATGTGAGATGGGTCTCCTGAATACAGCAAACTGATGGGTCTGGACTCTTTATCCAATTTGCCAGTCTATATCTTTTAATTTGACCATTTAGTCCATTTACATTTAAGGTTAATATTGTTATGTGTGAACTTGATCCTGTCATTGTGATATTAGCTGGTGATTTTGCTTGTTAGTTGATGCAGTTTCTTCCTAGCATCGATGGTCTTTACATTTTGGCATGTTTTTGCTATGGCTGGTGCCAGTTGTTCCTTTCCATGTTTAGTGCTTCCTTCAGGATCTCTTGTAGGACAGGCCTGGCGGTGATAAAATCTAAGCATTTGCTTGTCTGTAAAGGATTTTATTTCTCCTTCACTGATGAAGCTTAGTTTGGCTGGATATGAAATTCTGGGTTGAAAATTCTTTTCTTTAAGAATGTTGAATATTGGCCCCCTCTCTCTTCTGGCTTGTAGAGTTTTTGCCGAGAGATCTTCTGTTAGTCTGATGGATTTCCCTTTGTGGGTAACCTGACCTTTCTCTCTGGCTGCCCTTAACATTTTTTCCTTCATTTCAACTTTGGTGAATCTGACAATTATGTGTCTTGGTGTTGCCCTTCTCGAGGAGTATCTTTGTGGCATTCTCTGTATTTCCTGAATTTGGATGTTGGCCTGCGTTACTAGGTTGGGGAAATTCTCTTGGATGATATCCTGCAGAGTGTTTTCCAACTTGGTTTTGTTTTCCCCCTCACTTTCAGGCACCCCAATCGGATGTAGATTTGGTGTTTTCACGTAATCCCATATTTCTTGGAGGCTTTGTTCATTTCTGTTTCCTTTTTTTTCTCTAGACTTCTCGCTTCATTTCAATCATTTGATCTTCAATCATTGATACTCTTTCTTCCAGTTGATCGAGTTGGTTACTGAAGCTGGTGCATTTGTCACGTATTTCACATGTCATGGTTTTTATCTCTGTCAGCTCCTTTATGGCCTTCTCTGCATTGATCATTCTAGGTATCCATTCTTCCATTATTTTTTCAAGATTTTTAGTTTCTTTGTGCTGGGTACGTAGTTCCTCCTTTAGCTCTGAGAAGTTTGATCGACTGAAGCCTTCTTCTCTCAACTCGTCAGAGTCACTCTCCATCCAGCTTTGATCCATTTCTGGCGATGAGCTGCGTTACTTTGGATGGGGAGATACACTCTGATTTTTTGAATTTTTTGAATTTCCAGCTTTTCTGCCCTGCTTTTTCCCCATCTTTGTGGTTTTATCTGCCTTCAGTCTTTGATGGTGGTGACGTACTCATGGGGTTTTGGTGTGGTTGTCCTTTGTTAGTTTTCCTTCTAACAGTCAGGACTTTCAGCTGTAGGTCTGTTGGAGATTCCTTGAGGTCCACTCCAGACCCTGTTTGCCTGGGTATCAGCAGCAGAGGCTGCAGAAGATAGAATGTTGCTGAACAGCGAGTGCTGCTGTCTGATTCTTGCTCTGGAAGCTTCATCTCAGGGGTGTACCCAGCTGTGTGAGGTGTGAGGTGTTGGTCTGCACCTAGTCAGGGATGTCCCCCAGTTAGGCTACTCAGGGGTCAGGGACCCACTTGAGCAGGCAGACTGTCCATTCTCAGATCTCAACCGCAGTGCTGGAGATCCACTGCTCTCTTAAAAGCTGTCAGACAGGGTCATTAACATCTGCAGAGGTTTCTGCTGCCCTTTTTTTTTTTTTTTTTTTTTGCTATGCCCTGTCCCCAGAGGTGGAGTCTACAGAGACAGGCACACCTCCTCGAGCTGTGGTGGGCTCCACCCAGTTCAAGCTTCCTGGCTGCTTTGTTTACCTACTTAAGCCTCAGCAATGGCGGACGCCCCTCCCCCAGCCTTGCTGCCGCCTTGCAGTTAGATCTCAGACTGCTGTGCTAGCAATGAGGGAGGGTCCGTGGGCATGGGACCCTCCTGGCCAGGTATGGGATATAATCTCCTGGTGTGCAGTTTGCTAAGACCCTTGGTGAAGTGCAGTATTAGGGTGGGAGTTACCCGATTTTCCAGGTGTTGTGTGTCTCAGTTTCTAATGGGATTCCCTTCCCCCTTGCACTTCCCAGGTCGCCCTGCTTCAGCTCTCGCTGATTGGGCTGCAGTAGCTGACCAGCACCGATTGTCCAGCACTTCCCAGTGAGACAACCCCAGTACCTCAGTTGAAAATGCAGAAATCACCCGTCTTCTGTGTCGCTCGTGCTGGGAGCTGGAGGCTGGAGCTGTTCTTATTCGGCCATTTTGCTCGCACCAATTTTGTTTTTTAATCTTACCATTTAATGACGTTTATCTTCCTTTCACCTCCTCCAGGGAAAGTTTAGAAAAATCCACAGTGGTACCTGTACCATATGAGAAGATGCTATGAGACCAGTCAGCTGTGGTAGTATAGGGGCTTCCAGAAGATGTTGCCTTTAAACACCCTGAGAATTACTATCTTGCAGCCCTAAAATAGATTTTGGAGAACACAGCAGGGATTTCATTTATAATTAAGAGGTGAGGTGCTTTTCCCTTCATGCCCATCAATGGTTTATTCATATAAATTTAAATATTCAGCTTATGTTAAATTCTTGGTTAGCAAAAGTCATTTAAATTTATGCTGTTAATCATTCTGTGTATTCATGTTTAGTTTTATTATGTTTTGTTTTATTGCAGACCTTTCTTAGGGCCAAAGAAACATCTAGGTTAATGATTGCTTTCCTTCCTTGATGGCTGGCTTCATAATCCCGTTTTGCTAGATTTCAATACACGTTAGTGGTGTCTCTTTTATTTTCTTTGAGAATACGATGTAAGACATTTTCAGATGGGCTGCTTAGATGTTTACATAATCCAAGAAAGGTTCGTTGAGCTGAAAAAGTAGAGACTTATTTTTTGTTTTCAGCTCTATTTGTTGTTTTCTGTGTAAGATCATAGATCTGCCCTCACTTGCCAGCATTACGAGTAGGATTAATTGACCTAATGTCACTGAATAAGCAAGGCATTATTGGGCACAGCATTGGGTGAGGAGGGGATACATAACTCTATATAAGCATTATGACTTTGGAGTGCTGGGAGTCTAATGGAAGAGAGAAAAGTTCATAAAATGACCATGGCAACAGCCTCACATCCCTACTGTAAGAATAGTTCTGAGAAAGTGCTGCGATGTTCATTAGAGGTTGGATTCCTTTATAGTTCAGGAAGTTTCATGAGGAGAGGGAATTTAGATGAGCCCTTGGAGGATGAGAAGGATTTCAACTTCCTTTAGGGAAGTCTAGACATTTCATTTGAAGAGAAAAAATGATTAAGAGTGGTAACCTTTGGAGCCAGAATTTTTTTAGACTTTTCAAAGTAAATAACCAGTATCATTGGCATACTCTTTACAATGTAAGGATGAAAGGGAAAATAGTATGTACATAAACACACCCAGTTTGTTTTCTGTTTACCTTTGTTTTATTCTCATTGTGGTGAAAAGGTTAATTTTTAGCACCTTTATGGAGGTATAATTGATGCACTATAAAATTCACCTGTCTCAAGTATATAATTCACTGATAGTAAATTTACAGTCTTAAAATTTTTTAGAAAGATTTCACAGACATCACAATCTAATTTTAGGATGCTTTCATTATCCCTATCTCTGTTATTTCATGAATTATGGTGTAGAAATGGAATACATACTGTGTTTACTATTGAAATTAGCTTTCTTCACTGAGCATAATTCACTTAACACTCATTGGGCTTGTTGAGTGTATCAGTAGTTACTTTTTATTGCTGAGCATTAAGTATTCTATTATATGAACATACTATCTGTTTATCCAATCATCACTTGATAGATATTTCTGTTTTTTTCATTTTCTGCTATTAAGAATAACACTACAGTGAATGTATTTTAACAAGTTTTTGTCTGGACGTATACCTTAGTATCTCTTATATATATATACCTAGGAGAGTAATTACTAAGAAGTGGATAAATTTACACTGAACTGTTAAGAAACTGACCAGCTGTTTTCCAGAGTGGCTGTACTGTTTTCTAGTCTCTCAGCACATTATGAAGGTTCCAGTTTCTTTACATTGCTGCCAACTTACTGTCTTCTTGATGTGAGCCATCGTAATAGGTATGAAATGGTATCTCATTTTGGTATGATGTTTTTATTTTTCTAGTGACTGCTAATGTTGTGTTATCTTTTAGTTGTTTTGGATTTTTTTTGGATTTTTTTTGTTTTTTTGAGACAGGGTCTCACTATGTCACTCAGGCTGGAGTGCAGTGGCATGATCTGGGCTCAGTGCATCCTCAACCTCCCTGGCTCAGGTGATCTTCCTGCCTAAGCTCTGGAGTAGCTGGGACTACAAGTGTACACCATTATACCTGGCTAATTTTTAAATATTTTTTGGTAGAGATGGGGTTTCCACACGGTGCCCAGACTGGTCTTAAACTCCTGGACTCAAGCAATCCACCCACCTATGCTTCCCAAAGTGCTGGAATTACCATTTTGTGTTACCTTTCAGTGTGCTTATTCGTCATCTATATATAAAATACATATTTGGAGAAATATCTATTTAGATCTTTTTTCCATTTTAAAATTGGGTTTGTCTTTTTATTTTCAGTCATAAGATTTTTTTACATAGTTTTGATATAAGTCCCTAATTGATTGATAATTTGTTAAAAAAAATTTGTGTGCGAGCCAGTGTCACTCTTTCATGCAGGCTGTAGTGTAGGATTTGGAAATATTTTCTCCAATTCTAACAATTCTGCATTATTCTTAATATGTAATTTGTCTTCTTTGCTTGGTAGTACTTTTTGAGGCAGAAAAGTTTTTAATTTTGATAGAAACCAGTTTATTCTCTTGGCATTTGGCTTTTGACTTTATATTTAAGAAACCATTGCCTAACCCAAAGGCATGAAGATTTTATTTTATTTTATTTTACTTTTTTTGGTGACATGTCTATATAAAAAGTGTTTGGCCCTTTTAAAAATTGAGGATTTTTTTCTTGTTTTATATGTTATAAGAGTTCTTGATATATTCTGGATACAAGTCTTTTATCAGAAATAACATTCTGCACATAGTATTTCTCTCTGTGGCTAACTGTCTCACTTTCTTGGTGGTGTCCCTTCTAGCTCAAAAGTTTTGCTTTGGAGAAATTCAGTTTTTCAAGTTTTCCTTTTATTGCTATGCTCTTGGTGTTGTATCTAGAGAATCTTTGTCCAACCTAAGGTCGCAAAGGCTTAGACTTAGATTTTCTTCTTGAAGTTTATAGTTTTAGCTCTTATGTTTAGGGGTATGATCCATTGTGAGTTATTTTTCGCACATATCATGAAGTAAGGGTTTAATGTCATTGGTTTGCATGTGGTGTACCAGTAGCACCTGTCGAAAAGACCATTCCTTCTCCATTTAATTGCCATAAAACCTTTTTTAAAAATCAACTCCTGGTCTCAAGTACTCCACCCAACTCCACCTCCCAAAATTCTAGGATTATAGGCATGTATCATGTATATTCCTTTAATATGGAATTTATAGCTTACATGTTTCTTTAAGCTGTATAACTTGCCTTTAGGTTACATATGGGGTCCAAAATTTTAATCATATGAAACACAATTTTACATTGTTGACAAATAGTTGATGTCTCCGAGTTTAATCTCTTGTAGAGGAGTTTTCAATTGTGTTATATCTGAATTCTCGCTGTTGCAGATCCTGGCATTGTGGGGCTTTTAACCTTGCTTTACATGAGTTCAAACGTTACCTTATGGTTGTGTGTGGTGGTTCATGCCTGTAATCTCAGCACTTTGGGAGGCAGTGGCGTGTGCATTGCTGGAGTCAAGGAGTTAAAGACCAGCCTGGACAACATGGCAAAACCCCATCTCTACAAAAAAATAAAAAAATAAAAAAATAAAAAAATTAGGTGTGGTAGTGCAAGTCTATAATCTCAGCTACTCAGAAGGCTGAGGCAAAAGGGTCGCTTGGGCCCAGGAATTGGAGGCTGCAGTGAGCTAAGATTATACCATTCCACTCCAGCCTGGGCAACAGAGCAAGATTCTGTCTCTAAAAAAATAAAATAGTACATTCTTTAGTGAACTTCAGATTTCAGATTTATCCAGAAACATAGGATGATTTTATAAAAAAGCTAATTCATTTTCTCATATTGTTGAACTAACTAGAAATAATATATCATCTGGGTATCTAATGAAAAGGCAGCAGAAATCTAACATAATTGGTTGGAATATTACTTCATCAAATGGATAAATTGCAAAATTTTCTCTTATTCTGTAGTTTATTCTGATGATAGTTTCTTCTGCTGTGCAGAAGCTGTTTAGTTTATTTAGATCCCATTTGTGAATTTTTGCTTTTTGTGTAATTGCTTTTAGAGTTTTTGTTATGAAATCTTTGTTCGTGCTTATGTTCTCAGTGGTATTGCCTAGATTTTCTTCTAGGGTTTTTATAGTTTTTGGGTATTGCATTTAAGTATTTAATCTGTCTTGAGTTAATTTTTATATAAAATGTAAGGAGGCAGTCCAGTTTCAGTTTTCTGCATATGGCTAGCCAGTTCTCCCAGCATCATTTATTAAATAGGGAATTCTTGCCTAATTGCTTGTTTTTGCCAGTTATTGAAGGTCAGATTGTTGTAGGCATGCAGTATTTTTTTTTTTTTTTGAGTTCTCTATTCTGTTCCATTGATCTGTGTGTCCTTTTTCTACCAATACCATGCTGTTTTGGTTACTGTAGTCTTGTAGTATAGTTTGAAGTCAGATATGCTTCCAGGTTTGTTCTTTTTGCTTAGGATTGTCTTGGCTATTCAGGCTCTTTTTTGGCCTCATGAATTTTAAAATAGTGTGTTCAAATTCTGTGAGGATAGCATTGAATCTATAAATTATTTGTGGCAGTGTGGCCATTTTCATGACATTGATTCTTCCTGTCTATGAGCATGGATGTTTTTCTATTTGTTTGTGTCCTCTCTGATTTTTTTGAGCAGCAGTTTGTAGTTTTCCTTGAAGAGGCTTTTTCAATTCCCTTGTTAGTGGCCGGATTTTTAGGTATTTTATTCTCTTTGTAGCAATTGGGAATGGAAGTTCATTCATGATTTGGCTCTCTGCTTGTCTGGTGTTGTTGTATAGGAATGTTTGTGATACTTGTACATTAATTTTGTATTCTGAGACTTTGCTGAAATAGCATTAACATTTTCTTACACAGCCATGGTCTTATCACGTCTGACCAAATTTACAATGTTTTTTTTGATAATGAGCTTATATGAGGCTTTTAGTCCAGTTTCCTCTCTTATCTGAACAGTATCTCATTTCCTCCTTTATCTGAAAAGTATTGCTTTAAATATGGATCTAAACAAACATGATATATTAACTTTGGTTGTTATGGCTCTTTTAATCTCAACCAGCCTTTGCTAACCTTTATTATTTTCCATTCCATGAATTCATTGTGGAATGTTTTCTTTAAAATGGTATGCTCGCTAGGTTGAAGGGGTAAAGAACCTTGGTCTCGTGTTTGCAATGTGGATGAAAGTGTAGCCTGAAATGTGCCAGTGTGCAGCAGCCAATGGAGTAGGGTTATTAGGGCCAGGAGCAGTTAGTAGCAACAGGCTGCTTCCAGGTTGTAGTTAGGTTGTGTTCTGTATTGTCTATCATGCTTTTCTTTCTCTTTTTTCTTCCTGAGGATACTGAGCAACAAAGATCAGTGTTTTGAGATTTTAGAGCTGTTAAGATTATCTTAGGATCAGGATACTTCAATCTGCCAAACTCTGGCTGTTGATGATGGGTCATTTCTGCTTGTCTTTGCTGTATTGCCTATTTCAATATTTAGTAAGTACATTTCTACAGTCTTTCCAGTTAAAAAAAATTGACATGTGCCTTGCTTTGTATTGTACTAAAATCTGATTTCAACATATAGTCTCTTGAATTGCTTTAATTTTGTTCAGTTGAAGAATTGGGGAGCACTGAAGCCAAGGCTGTCCTGTACCAACAATTTGAGGCACACCTGAACGATCTGTGTCTGGAAGGACTACCAGAAAATATTCCTTGCAGAAATCCCTCATGGCATGGAATCTCAAGGATGGAAAACATCGTTCAAGTGGGCAGTCAAATTTGTTATAAAAGGTAAGATGATAATCTGAAGAAACAAATTCAATGTGTTCAGTAGGAAAAGATTAATTTGATGAAGAAAGGCCTCTGGTTCCTCTCTCATCACAACTAATCTATATTTGATAATTAACTTTTAGATTCATTTATTAAACAAATATTTATTTAGTATAAGCATCAGATGTGCAAAATTGGGTCTAACAAGAACCCTGTGCTTGGGAGACTTCATATGAACAAAAATGCAATAGAGAATTACTGAGCATTTTGTGGGGAGAAGGTGAGGATGGCACACTGAGATCGGTCACTTGTGCATACAGAGAAGAGGGAAGGTGTTTTAAATAAGAAAATCATCTAAGTATGCTTACATATTCACATTAACTCACCTGTTCTGTGGAGAGTAAGGAGTGCCATGTGGGTGTGGTGGGACTGCATCAATAGGCTTGGGTAGCTATGTGGAGGAAGACATAGCTGTTTCAGATTCTGTGAAAACAGTGGCAGTCACTAAATGGTCTCGAAGCAGATCCCTCTTAAAATAATTTGGTTCTGCCCTTTAGAAAGGTTATTCTGGCTTAATTTTGAAGGGTAAAAAACTGGGTAGTTTGAGTGTAGAGGGTAGAAACAGAAGGCCTCTCTCTACTTATGGAAGGAGCGTTGAAGGGTAAATGTTGCTTACTCATCAGAGTTGTGCATCTGTGTGTGTTTGTTGGGACTGAGTTACAAGGGAGAGGAAACATTTAAGATGATACAGCAAGCTGCTTCTGCCTGTGCTGCAGTACAGTTTTAAGATTCAGAAACATAATTGAGCTGGTTGGGGAAAAGTGGCTTTTGCATATTTATCTTAAATGTAACATGACTTTGGAGACATCTAGGTAGTCTCACCTGAGTGACTGAAAATTGCCATTTTCAAAACAAACTCAAGTCACCAAAATGATTTTTTAACTAAAATGAAGGCAGAATGAACCATATTTAAAAATAATTGGCAATGAACAGCTGTATGAGAAAGGCCTGTGAGTTGCTTCTAAATGCTTTTTTACTAATATCAACTGTATTTTTACAGACAGGAACTTCTGACTCACAGTACAACAGAAGTTACTCAGCCAAGAACAGATACACCAGGTAAAATAGTTGTGAAATCTTTTTAAAAGCACAGATCAATAATTTCTAAGATTTTAAAAATTACTTTAATCTTTTAAAATTATGGAACTCTTCCTGCTGTAGTCTCCCCAAAAATTCTTTTGCAGAAAGTCAATACGAGCACTCCTTGATACATCAATATGAACACATGCAGTTTGGGGATAACTCAGGCTTTGAACTTAGACTAATGCCATTCAAGAGAAATACAGCATGCACCACAAATGTAAGCAACATATGTGACTTTAAATTGTCTATTTCAATTAGTAATTATTGTAAATACACAATGAAGTATTTCGCGTTCCCTATTTTACATGCACATATTCTTTGACAATTGGAGTGTCTCTCATACAGCGTGTTTCAGTTCCAAGTTAGCCACATTTTAACCACTCGTGGATAGCAGCTACCATACACATTTAGACCTTAATGTTTCTTAATATGCACCCTGCTCCTGAAATGGAAAATACTGTAACTCTCTGGTATGCACACTAATATCACAACCTAACAGGAAAGATCTAAAAAGTCTCCATTGAATGAATGACATTATTTTATTACAGCTCTAAGTTTGGCCTTATTTTTTCCCACTTTTTGTTTGCCATTAAGTAGTGTCACAGTGAGTGACCACAATTTGTAGATTGTCTACCATCTTAGGAACTTTTGTTGCCATGAACCAACAAATAGTCATATCCTGTAGTGTGAAGTGTTATGTTGTCAGGCAGTAAGTGTTTGGAATCGTGTGAATTTAGTATGTGTATTAGGTTTTTAAAAATGTATGCAGTTAGTCATTCTGATGAATACTAAGGTGAACAAGGATTCTCAAGTTTGGTTTATAGGTGTATCCTAAAATACTGCTCCTTCAGCTTTCACAGTACCTTGGAGAAATTTGTTATGGTCAGTGTGCCAAGTAGATTTAGTATGTATAATGAATGGAAAGTGGTTGAGAAATTCTGTACTAGAGTAACAAAATTATCCTGTTCCAGGAGCCCTGCAGAGGAGAAGATAAAGTCAATGCTTAACTCATAGGTTAATCTACTCAGCATGCTTTTGATTTGGGCAAAGAATCAAAGTATTGAAGAAGAAAATGGGAAGTGACATTTTTTGCTCTCAGCCAACCTCCTAGCCAAGCAGCTGCTCATCCAACCTCTTAGTAAACCTCTGAGACACTCTCAGTCAGACAGTCTTTTGGCCAGCCCCACAGCCAGCCAGCCTCACGGCGAGCCTCCCATGCAGCCAGTGTTTTGAATAGCATTTTAGCAAGCCTCTTGCCCAGTGAGAAAACCTGGAACTTGGTCAGCCTTCTGAAAGCCAGCCTTTTGGTTTAGCCTCCCATGCAGCCAGCCTCTAGGCCAGCCGCCTAACAATCCAGCCTGACACCCAGGCTCTTAGCTGGACTCAGCCTACCAGGCTCTCAGCAAGCCATTTAGCAAGAATTTAAAGCAGGCTCTCAGACAGACTCTCACACAGGCTCTACGCCAGCCTCCTAGTTGGCCAACCTCTCATCCATGTTCTTGGCAAGCCTCCCAGCAAGCATCTGTTGGCTTCCTAGCCATTTAGCCTGAAGACCAGCCTCCCATGCAGCCAGCATTCCATAAAGTGTTCCACAAGCCTCTCTTCCTGCCATAAAAACCGTCATTCGACCAGCTTACCATGCAGCCAGGCTGTAGGCTGGCCTCCAAAAAAATGGCCTGCCACCCATCCTCCTAGGCCAATTCGTCTTGCCAGACACTTGGCATGCGTTTCAGGAAGCACGTGAGGCAGCCTGTCGCACAGACTCTCACACTGTCGCCCAGGCTTCCAGACAGCCAGCCTCTGATCCAGCCTTTCAGAAAGCTGCTAAGCAAATCTCCCACCCAGCCTGCTTCAAGACCAACCTCTTATGCAGCCAGCATTTTTAACAGCCATCCAGCAAGCCTCTTGCACAGCCAGACAATCTGCCACTCTGCCAGTTTCCTTGCCAGAATCTGGGTTAGCGTCCTATGCAGCCAGTCTCTAGGCCAGGCTCCTAACAAGCCAGCCTTCCATTCAACCACTTAGCCGGAATCAGCCTGCCAGGATCTCAGCAAGGCTTTTAGCAATCGTTTAAGGTAGCATATCAGATAGAAACCCTCTCACACAGGCTCTCAGCCAGCATCCTGGCCAGTCAGCCTCTCAGTAAGCCTCTAAGCCAGGCTCCCAGCAAATGATCCTCAAGATTGCCATTCCATACAGTCATCGTCTCAGCCACCCTCTTAGCAGTGCTTTCATCCATCCAGCCTAATTGCCTCTTGGCCTGCCTCCTAGCCAACCAGCCTGCTGGCCAGACTATTAACAAGCTTGTCAGCCATTGAGCCTCTCAACAAGCCAGACTTTTATTTGGCCTTTGAGCCAGACTCCACATGCCAGGCTCTCACTGTGTCTGGAGTTGGTTCCTGCAAGTGGGTTTGTGGTCTCACTAACTTAAAGAATGAAGCCCGCAGACCTTTGTGGTGAGTGTTACAGCTCTTAAAGATGGCACGGACCCAAAGAGTGAGCGGTAGCAAGGATTATTTTGAAGAGTGAAAGAACAACGCTTCCACAGCATGGAAGGGAACCTGAGTGGGTTGCTGCTGCTGGCTGGGGTGGCCACATTTTATTCCTTTTTTTGTCCCCTCCCATGTTGTGTTTCTGTTGTATCAGAGTGCCTTTTTTTCAATCCTCCGTGCGATTGGGTACTTTTAGGATCCTGCTGATTGGTGCATTTTACAGAGCGCTGACTGGTACATTTTACAGAGTGCTCATTGGTGCATTTCACAGAGTGCTGATTGGTGCATTTTACAATCCTTTTGCTGGCTACAGAGTGCTGATTGGTGCATTTTTACAGAGCGCTGATAGGTGCATTTTACAATCCCCTTGCTAACTACAGAGCACTGATTGGTGTGTTTTACAGTCCTAGCTGCAGAGTGCTGATTGGTGTGTTTTACATTCCTCTTACAAGACAGGAAAGTTCTCCAAGTCCCCACTCGACCCAGGAAGTCCAGCTGGCTTCATCTCTCAATGCCGCCTCTAAACAGGACACCCCAATTGCTGTTGGGAATTGGTGATGACCACTCTAGCTAATTCCTGCTGGACAGGGGTGAAGAAGGAGCCCTGCAGTTGTAGTGTCCTCCAGAAGGGAAATCTCTAGCCCAAAGGACCAGTGGGTCGATCCCAGGGTCCTTGGTAGAAGTTGTGCGTTGAGCTCATTTGGGGTTCCATTTATAAGACCATCTGTAGCTAGATGGCCTTGATCCTGGAGGAAACAAATTCGACAAGGAGGTTAAAAATGCAAGGCCAAGAGGTGAGTAATAGCAAGGTGATTGTCATGGGACCTAGAATGGGGAGAACCCATGTTGCCCAACTCTAGAGATAGGTATAAGAGTTTGAGAGGCATCTGATTTCAGAAGCCTTTTCCTGTAAATGCCAGGCGGTGTCTTGTACTATCCCTGACTGGTGAGTGTAAAAGCAATACTCTTCCCCTAAGAAGGTTCATCAAAGTCCTCCTTTCTCAGCAGTGAGGTGGTCTAGGCCTCTGTGGTTTTGCAGAGTCACTGCTGCCAAAGAATCTATTTGAGATTTGTAGGCTAAGGATAGGTTTTGTTACTTCTTGCAAACTGAGAAATCCTTTGAGAGTGTGTGGTAGTAGGATAGTGAAGTGGACAAACTTGCTATTCCGATTCCTGTAGCAGTAGTCATTCCTAAATCCTATAAGTAGGGGTATTAGTCCTGTACCGATGGACTTGAGCCTTGAGGGGCACTGATAGGGTCTGATTTCCTGGTACAGTGTCAGTGTTGGGACTTAGGAAGACTAAGGTGCAGGTGCCTGTCCAGTTGGTGGGGAGGCAGATATAGGTTGAAATTCCACATAAGAATTTCATGCCTTGACTGGGTAGGCAGAACTGGTTGTGTCTGTTAAAAGGGTGTGTGGTTTTGTTTGTTTTCATTTTCCCATACTCCTAGAGTACTTCCCGAGGTAGCTCCAGTGAGCGGCTAGAAAGGGGTGTTGGGAGCAAACTGAGTGACTCCTTGTGTTCTATTTTCCCATTGGAGAAAAAAACCATTTTGTATCTTAGTAGGAACCATTCAGGAGAGTGATTGAGAGTGGATGAGAAGGTACTCATTAGTGGTGGGGACGCTGCTGCAGGTGGTCCAGGGGTTACTGGTCATGCAGGGAGTATGTTTGCCATTACAAAACCCAGACTTCGTTAAGCAGGGAGGAGATGATAATTCTTAGGGGCCCTGAAAGCAGACAGGCCATCTGAATGGAGCTGTTTGGATGACTTGGAAGTTACTATGATCAATTGGGGTTTGAAATTGTAGGGTGTAATTACACTGATGGGATAGTAGGATCCCCAGGAACAGTCCTGATAACAGGTTGCACTGGATGCATAAAGGGGCTTAGAATGTTAAGATGATATTCATGGTTATAGAGCCATGTATGGGCTTTTCATTGCTTGTGTATTAGGTGAGGTTGGAAATGTAAGAGCGTAAAAGCTGCGTTGCACATCCTGTTGGCGTATTTTTGGTCCTATCAGAGATAGGGAAGTCAGCTAATGACTGCATATTTAGAAGTTGCAAAGGGTCTTTTCCTTCATAGTGGGGGTGGTAGGTTAAATCAGTAAAGACCACTTTCTGAACTTTCTCTGTCTTGCAGGGGAAGGGTTCTATCCAGTTTGTAAAGGTATCAACACAGACCAATAAGTATTGAAATCCCCTTGATTGAGGCATGTTGGTGAAGTCTAACTGCCAGTCCTCTTTGGGATAGTGCCCTATTCTTTGTTCCCCAAGAGGGGCCTTACAGTGGACCAAGGGATTATTCCTTTGGCACACCTCATAGGCTTTGACTATTTGCGGGATGGTCTGGAGGAGATTTAGCCCTGTAAATAGGGATTTGGCCATTTGATGAGTATTCTCAATGCCCATATGAAAAGTTTGGTGGAGGGTCTTAAGACCTTAAATACTTAAGTATTTTCCATTGGCTGGCTTTGGGTATGAGTATTTTTCCCGTTTCTGTTGTTAACCACCCCAAGGGGAGAAAACTATGCCTCCCTGAAAGTTCCCATTCTGTTTCAGTCGGGGAATACTGGGACTTAATCTCTTGGAGAGGGTTGTTCCACACCAAGGGTCCTTCCATAGGTATTTCTAATGGGAGATTCTGCCTGGCAGTAATTTTGGCTTCAACGTCTGCCCAACGGTTTCCTTCTGCCTTTTCTCCTTCACCTTTTTGATGGCTTCAGCAGTGTAAGACTGCTACCTCCTTGGGTGTTTTTCACTGCGTGCAATAACTCCATGATTTCCTTGTGGTATTTAATGGGGGTTCCCCCAGAGGCTTGGAACTCTCTTTCTTTCCATATTGCAGCATGGGCATGTAGGAATAGATAAGCACTTGGTATCTGTATATACATTTATTCTTTTTTCCTTTCTTAGTTCTAGGGCTCGGGTAAGGGCCATTAGTTCTGCTAACTGGACTCTGGTCCCTGGGGGAAGAGGCTTACTTTCAAGTACTGTTACATCACTAACTGTGGTGTAACCTGCCCTTCATATCCCATTCTCCACGAATGAACTTCCATCAGTATATAGGTTAAGGTCAGGATTAGCTAAGGGGACTTCTAAGATCGTCTCGGGTGGCGTAAGTCTGGGCTACAATTTGTTGGCAGTCATGCTTGATTGGCTCCCCATCCTCTGGGAGAAAAGTGGCAGGGTTGAGGGCTGCACATGTGCCTATTCGAAGCACCAGTCCCTCAAGGAGTAGTGCCGGGTATCTAAGCAGGTGATTGTCTGATAGCCATAAGCTTCCTTTGGCACCTAGTGTGCCATTTACATCATGAGTAGTCCAGACAGTGAGATCCTTTTCTTGTATTATTTTGATAGCTTCTGATACTAAGACAGCCACCACCACAATTGCATATAAACAGTGAGTCCAGCCTTTTGCTGCTACATCCATTTCCTTACTTAGGTATGCCATGAATCTGAGTAAGGATTCCAAGAGCTATTCCTGCTCTCTCTGTGATATATAAAGATAAATTTTGTCCTGTGGGAAGGGTTAAGCCTGGAGCTTATACTAGGGCCTTCTTTAAGGTTTTGATGGCTGTTTCTGCCTCTGGTTCCCATTCTACTAGATGAGTATTTGCCCTCTGGGTCTCCTTGATTAGAGTGTAGAGTGGCCTGGCCATCTTGCTGTATCTGGGGATCCATAGTCAGCAAAAGCCGGTGATCTCAAGGAACACCCACAACTGGTTTTTTTTTGTTTGTTTTTTGTTTTTTTTTTTGAGATGGAGTCTCGCTCTGCCACCCAGGCTGGAGTACAGTGGTGCAATCTCGGCTCACTGCAAGCTCTGCCTCCTGGGTTCACACCATTCTCCTGCCTCAGCCTCCCAAGTAGCTGGGACTACAGGCGCGTGACACCATGCCCAGCTAATTTTTTGTATTTTTTTTAGTAGAGACGAGGTTTCACCTTGTTAGCCAGGATGGGTCTCGATCTCCTGACCTTGTGATTTGCCCGCCTTGGCCTCCCAAAGTGCTGGGATTACAGGCGTGAGCTACCGTGTCTGGCCCACAACTGTTTTTATGTCTTAGGGTGAGGATAAGTAAGTATGGTCTGTGTTCATTCTTTGCTGAGGGCACTGGTTCCCCTGGCTAAGTGAGGCCTAGATATTTAACTTGTTATAGGCAGAGCTGGGCCTTCGATTTAGATGCCTTGTACCATTGATTAACTAGAATGTTCAAGAGATCTAGAGTAGCCTGCTGGCATGAGGCTTCCAAACTGGCAGCCAAAAGTAAATCATTGACATACTGAAAGACCAGAGTGCCTGTACTTAAGAAGTGGCCTAGATCTTGGACCAGTGCCTGACTAAACAGATGAGGGCTACGCCTAAACCCTTGGGGCAAGACTGTCCATGTGAGTTGGGATGTGTGGTCTGTGAGATCCTCAAAGGCAAAGAGAAACTGGGAGTCAGAGTGCAGGGGAATGCAGAAGAAGGCGAGGTCCAGAACAGCAAGCCATTCTGCTTCCGCTGGTATTTGAGAGAGCAGGGTATAGGGATTGTGTACAATTGGATATAGAGGAATTACTGCTTCAATGATGAGTCTAAGATCTTGCACTAGTCTCCACTGACCATTTGGTTTTGTACTCTTAGAATTGGGGTGTTGCAGGGACTGTTGCATTTTCATACTAAGCCTTGAGCTTTTAAATGTCTAACAATATCCTGTAATCCTTTATGAGCTTCAGGCCTTAAGGGATGTGGCTTTTGAGAAGGAAGAGTGGTGGGGTCTTTTAGCCTGATTTGAACTGGGCAGGCATTTTTTGCCCTTCCAAATTGTCCTTCCAATGCCCAGACTTAAGGGTTGATTCCATCCTCAAGTAGGGGAGAACAAATGGCTAACTTTTCATCCGTATTCATGTAGATAATAGCTCCAGCTTTATTTAATATGTCCATCCCTAATAAGGGTGTGGGACTTTTAGGCATAACAA